GTGGACAGTTTTCATACTGCAAATTAGCTAGGCAAAAAGTTCCAAGTTTCGCTACAGGATGGAATGTTTTTTGTTTAACATAAACCCAGTATATAGCTAGTGAACAAATATTTAGGTAATTATGAACATATATCAAGACTATTGAAAATAAGTTTACTTTCTGAAATAAATCATAGAGTTTGGTATTTGTGAAATGCCCACACATGCAAAGAGTCACAAGAAGTCTTCTTAGTAATCTTTTACAGTTCAGTCCCATCTCTTCATAAGGTAAATACTGAACAAGAAAGATTGTAGAATGAAAAAGTCCAAATAAACAGATTGACATTTTTTGTGTATAGACTTACTAAAACTTGGGACCAGCACATCAGGGATGTAGTATCCTGGAATAATTTTCATAGAACTCTGCAGTATATAATTGTTATTAAATGTTAACAAACTCCTTCTATCATAAGCTATTAACTAGGGCCTCTGTTTACGTTTGTCAATGAAGTTCATATTCATACAAACTTATGTCAAAGTGAATGCGCTAGTGAATGTTTTAACGCTGATGGTGTGCTTGTGGCAATAATTCACTGAATAATTTCCTGTTCTTCATCTTATGTCCTCTAATAACATAGCTTCTCCTAAAGTCTGCTTGTGTGATATTTCAGAAAACTCTATAATGCATTTACATTCAGATTGTACCTTAAAATGTTTATTTCTCCAGGTCCTGTTTGAATTTATAACAAAGGATATTCTATAAACCAGATTTTTAAGTCAAAGGGGTATAGATCAAATCATAACAATGTCCAGCCATTGCTTTGGGGAAGAGTTTTCCTCTTTTCTCGGCATCTTTTTCTCCAGTGGACACATTCGCTACAGAAAACAAGTCTACAGTATAGTTGCATAGGTTAATCATAGCTCAAATACAGCTATTTTGTTGAGAGCTGTGTTAGCCTGGCAAAAAAAACAGAATGCTGATAGCACCTTTTCAGATTAACAAACTGTCATCACCTGCTCTCATTCAGATGAGCCTGAGACAGGGAATCCTGTTCCAGGAGAGCTGGTTGGATCTCAGCCTATGGAAACTTTGAGCACTTAATCTCCTAAGGTTGATCCACCTGAAGTTGATTCGCCCTCAGCAGTTGCCTCTGCTTTCAAAAGATAAGGAATTGGAGCTGGAAAGATTGCCCAGCCTGAGCCTGCCATGTGCAACAGAGAGCAGAGCACTGGTAATTCAACATGTCTTGAACCCTAAGAGTTTTCCCCATCTTTGATTGGATTCACCAGCATGGACACTATTTAGGAGCAACTTCTAACCTACTCTGTTGAGAACAACTGCTTTGTTTACCAGAACCTCTGCTGTTGCCTAAACTCTTGCCCATGGGAACTCTGTTTTTTTGCATCCAGACTGGCTGACAACTGAGCCCAGAACTGAGGGAGATAGATGGTTAAAAGATATGAAATATAAATAAATAAAAATGCTATGTGCCTGCAAAGGTTACATTCCATTCCAACATGAAATCTCTCTCTGGTTCAGCAAGCCTTTGCTTTTTCTATGCCCAAAGTACCTATAGTATCACAAAATGTGCTGTATGTACATGTACATTTTGACCTTGGTATTTAAAAGTTCCCCCCTCTATCTTAGAAGAAGAATGCTTAGATCTAGATTTATCAAAATATGCTATAATTAAGACTGTTCACTTGCAATGAGAAATCAGAGGAATTTATTTTTAAATTCAAGGGTATGCAAATGAATCAAACCATAAATTTATTTTGTAGTGCCAGAAAGGCCTATATTTTTTAAAAAATCCAGGCTATTACTTTGTGATTTAAAACATGCAACCATTCTTTGGGGACATACATTTTAATGGTTAATTAAGAAATAAGCTTTTGCATATGGAACATAAGGCTAGTCATATTGCACAAGATATAAACTCAGAATTTTTGGCTTGGATAACTAAAATCAAACTCACAACTTCTTGATTTGTTCTCATAATGCTGCTAATTAGCACTGGTGTTATTTAATGCCTGGTATTTCAAATAGAAATAAAGTATAGCAGAAATTTCTCATATCTTTAATTCCATTCTGATATGCCTATAGGAATTAGCAAAAGAAAATGGAAAAATGATCTACTTCAATAGGAAATCCAGAGGCAAATAGATGTTTTTACATTCCACTCACAGGTCTATAATAAATTACTGCCATTTTAATTCCGTTTCCAGATTCTGGGATATCAGATTCTTCCAAATAATTTATAATTATCTCCAGATATTAGAAAAGTTAAGTCAATTTTGTGGTAAATAATTGGCTTCCTTGACCTTGTGTATTATTTGTAGGAATGTATATTAATAGAGTGTACAGTTTTAATCTATTTTAAAATAAAGATATCAGTACAATAGTCAAGGTAAGATTATAATGAATTCATTAGCTTGCTTTTGAGCAAATAACATGGATAACACATTCAACTTTCCATTTCTTCCATAAGTAAACTAAGATTAATTTAAAAGCCATTTCATGCATGCGTTCATTGACTTTGAAAGGAGTCAAATAAGTGAAAGGAGTTAAAGAAGCTGCTATTCAAACTGCTGTCATTCTGTTGAAAAACGTTAAGTGTGAGTTGGTCAGAATTCTGGAACAAGAGAAATTCTAATGAATAATGGCTTTTGTCAGAAAGGAAGAAGTAGAACTTAGTACATTCCTTAGGTAATAGAGATATGTTGCCCAGTAACGAGGGAATAGTCAGGGACTTTTAAAAAATGGACGGTGTGAATGAAACTAGGCCTCTGTTCAGTTATGAAATGTCAATCTACCATATCACTTTCTGACATTTCTGGAACTTGCTCTTAGTAAATTAAAATAACAGTAAGAATAAGACAAAGTCATTGTTAGAATTATAGAACCAATAAAACCACCTGAATACTATTGAATTCTTCATTTATTTTACCTCTACATTATATGCAAAGCAACTGTTCAGGCCAAATGTTGGCATAACTGCTACCCAGTAGAGAATCCTAACTTGAAGATTCTCTGGTTTAGCAGTATCTATTTACAGGCAGATAGATCAACACAACTATGAAACTATTCCAACAAAACTACAATATCACTTTTGCCAGTGGAATTGATAAAAATAGGGTAGGGACATGGTGGGGTTACACACTGTAAATGCATGCCTTCTTGAACTTCTTCACCCATGATACATCTATGATGAAAATCAAACTTTACACTGTGTCAAGATAGTATATTTGTTGCTTTACTGAGATCAATGGAAATAATTCTTTCTACCACCCACCATATTTGGAATTTATTCATCAGATTACTAATTTGCCTTTCCCTCAGAAGCACCAAGTGATATAAATAGCTTTCCAATTTTTCTCCCCAATAACTCTAGGAGAAATCTTAGGCTGATTGGTTATCAGTGGCCTAAAGTCACCTAATTAAGTTTCTACAACAGGATGGACTGGGCTTCCCTGGTTGTAATTCAACACTATTATTTTAAGAAGGCATGATCTGAAAGCACATAATACAATGATATTCAGTGTTTCTAAAGGAGATTCTCTGAAAATTACTTTGAGTTCCATGGTGGAAGAAAGGCTGGTTTTAATTTTACAGATATGAGCGTCACAATATATATTTTCTACCAATTTTTTAACTATTATATTTTAATTATATGGATTTTAATAGATTTTAAGTTGTATTTAATATTTTACATTGTTTTACTGTTGTAAGTTACTGGATCTTGAGCATTCATATAAGCAGAAAAACAATATAAAATTGTTAACATTCCTGCTTTGTCACTATATGAATACGGTAGGGGCACCTTATGATCTTTCAGAGATGAAAACAATTGCACCTACAAATAAAATTTAAAGAGACTATTGAAGCTAAAATTCACTGAAGCTGAAATTCCTAATTTAATTTGGGACAAGCATCTCTTACATTCAATTTCCACATTACATGTACGAACAGACATTGCCATATTGTCTCCCATATTATCAAAATATGTTAAGCAATAGCAGCTGAAAACACAAAATGAAAACTACAGTAACTCTCCTCCCACCCCACCCACCACGAATGTACTGGAATGAATGGAATGTGAGAGGAAGTAGACCACTTAGCAAATTAAAAAAGTTTCTACTTTTTGTTACCATACCTCTTTCTGTTCTTTCTTAAAGTAAATTGGGATGTCTAAGATCAGAACTGCATTAATACACTGTGTTTTTTTTATCATGCAGAAAGGGATTTGGGATTTCTTTTGATTTACCTGTAAAAATTTGGTCTGCCTCAGCATCAGGCAACACTGCTTTCTTGTACAATGTTAAGCAAGTTTTCTTAAAATTGCCAACTCTTGCCAATGAATCTTGCACCAGACAAGTACACGTAGACACATAAGTGTCCTTTTTGTCCTCACGTCTTCCATCCAGGAGGCCTATAGCCCTTAAATTCAAATACTGCCCAGCATTTTTTTTCTTTTTACTATCTATAAGCTGCTTCTTTCTGAGCAAGTATAAGCCATAAATTAACAAGCTCGGCTGTTATTTTAGTTGATTAGCACTATTGGCTGCCTTGCCCTGTGCATTACTGCGGGATTAACCTTGCTTCTGTCAGTGGGGTTTTATACACGGTGCTCAAAATTTAAGACGTTTTAGAAACATCCCATCGGAGGCCGTGAGGCTTTATTCTCGAGTATAGGATAGCACGATAAGTCAAGGCAGCAGCTTTTGATCCTTTTTCTCACTCCTTTTTTAACCTTCCTCCTTTTTCGACAGCGTCTTCCAAACCGGCGTCCTTCAGACACCGCAAATCCGGCAACTGTCCCTGCTGCTGACAATTAAGGGCAGGAAATTCGGCTGCTCTTTATTGGGCCAGGTCGTCACGCCACGCCGGGCGAGAAAGACTTAGGGCTTCTCCCAGAGACCATGTGCCCCGGGAGTGGGTCGGCTTTTCCACCCATCTTCCCCGCCCTTTCTCCGCCCTTCCTTGATCCTAACACCTCCTGGCGGCGAAGCGAGCGACGGTGGCTATAGCAACCTCGCCGCCGGCTAGGCCCGCCTTTTGATTTGCTTTGCTTGCGCAGAGACGGTGGAAGGAGACGGAAACTGGCGAGAGGCGCCGGGTCTCCTGAGGCCGGCCCTACGGGCGAGGAGCCGGCTCCAGGCCGGGAACATGGGAGTCAGGATGGACGAAAGCGGCGAGCGCAGGAGGCGGCGGAGCAGCCCAGGTAGTACGCAGGAACCGAGCGGAGTTGGGAATCTGCTCCCGTAGCGCCGGGGAGGAGGGCGCCCGGAGGCTCACTCTTAGGTCCCGATTGGGACCTAAGAGTGAACCGGGCGCTTTTTTTAATGCTCCCCGCTCGCTCGCTGCAGTCGGGGGGGGGAGGCTACGCGGCTCATCCGAAGCTCTTGGTCTGTGAGGGGCTGGCGACCAAGATCCCGATTCCGGCATTTCGTGGGAACAGACGATTCTCTGCGAGCAGATCGCCTCGCGCAGCAGAAGGTTACGCGCCTTCTCCTCCTCGCGCCGGCTGGCGGGGTTCTATGACCCAGCATGCACTGCTTCTCCGGCTCCTCAGCAGTTCCAGAATGCGCCCGCCGATCCAGGGTCCTGGGGGCGGGGGAAGAGAAAGCGGGTGTGGAAAAGCTTTCCCGAACTTTATTGGTCTGTTCGGGATAACGCGGGGAAGGGACGAGGAGCGCGGAGATTTCCCGGCCTGATCAGCAATTGACTTAGATTTAGAAATAACTTTATTGTCACTTTAAATGTACATTAAAATGAAATTTCGTTGCATATGGCGCTCAAGGAGTCACCACCTCCAATATACGCTACATAAACATGACAAAACTATAAACAAATAATAAGTTAAATAACAAATAAGCAAGCATATACCCTCATATATGGCACAGAGAAACAACGCAGTCTAGTTCGGATGTATACGTGTACTGTACATGGTAAGAAAAACGAATCTTGCGAGTTTATCAGACGGCTGGCATAGGGGACAAAGCTGTTACAGAATCCTGCAGTCCTGCTAGAAATACTTAAAAACCTCCTCCCAGAGGGGAGCAACAGAAAAATTGCTAGAGCATGGAGTGGGTAGTCCTAAATCAGACATTTTTTTCTGTCTTGCTAATCTACTACTTACAGCAAGAACTTGGCACCAGTAAGCAGAGGTTTCAAAAACTATATGCACCTGTGTGCTATTGTCACTGGACAACAGTCCATCTTTTGCCTTGCTTGCTGCAGATCAACTGAGGAAAGATGAGATACAGATAGTCCTTGACTTATGACCACAGTTGAGCTCAAAAGTTTCTGTGGCTAAGCAAGACAACTTGTTAAGTGAATTTTTCCCCATTTTACAACCTTTCTTGCCAAAGTCGTTAAGTCACTGGAAGCACTTTTTAAATTAATAACATGGTTGTTAACTGTATCTGGCTTCCCTGTTAACGTTGCCTGTTAAAGGGTTGCAAGAGGTGATTTTATGATCCTGGGACACTGCAACTGTCATAAATATGAGTCAGTTGCCAAGTGTCTGAATTTTGATCACATCACCATGGGGATGCTGTGACAGTCATAAGTGTGAAAAATGGTCGTAAGTCACTTTTTTCACTGCTGTTGTAACTTTGAACGATCACAAAATGAACTGTTGTATATAGTTGTAGGAAATAAATGATGCATAGTATTTTGTCTGTGGTGTTACTATTTTGCAATTCCTCAATTATTTTGTGCTGGAAACTTGCTTGTTCAAACACAACAAATGTGACTTGAGCTAAGGTAGTTAAAAAAAGAATGGTGTTACAACTCTAAATGCATCTGGAGATAAACATGATTTTAATGGAGTCATTTTAATATTCTGTGATAATTTTACTGAGCTTGCTTTGCCTTTTTTGGTAAATGTCAAAAACTAGATAGGACGAGTTTACCTTGACTGGTGGTTTTCCACATTGGTTATGTTATTCTTATGGGCTGCCTGGCAGGGTTGGGCCTTTAGATTTTTGTAGTAATTCTGGTTCTGTGTTTTGGACTCAAAAGGCTTCAGTACCTAGGTTATTGATTTATAGTGCCATTATCCTCTGTTTAACATCTTTATGACACCACTAGAGAACATTTGGAGCTCTGGAATGGGATGCTATCACTGTACTAATGTTACTCAACTCTACAGAGCAGTCTTCCTTCTAACTCCAAGGAAGCAGTAAGGACCCTTGAAAATTGCCTAATCGTGGAATGCTCTGGATAAAGAAACACAAACTCCAGGCGTGTTGGAAGTACTGTTAAAAAGGGCTCTGGGGATAAAGTGAGATCTGTTTTGGATGAAATTTATACACCCAGAAAGGACAGATTCACAGTTTGAGAATGTTCCTTGACCCCAGATATTACTGGATTTGCAGGTGGTGGTGGCAAAGAGCATATTTGCACAGTTCGTGCACCAACTACAACTATTTGTGTGCCAGTCAGTCTTAGCAATAGCCATCCATTCATCGGTTTCACCCTGGCTGGACTACTGCAGTGCACTTTATCTGGAGCTAACCTTGAAAAGAGTCTTGAAATTAATACTAAGGTGCAAGATATATGATGCACTGTTATCAGATGCCTACAAGGTGTAATGCTGGTGTTGACTTTTGAAGTCTTGAAGAGCTTAGGTCTAATTTATCTGCCTTGTTATATACCTCCCCAGCTCTGAGTTCAGTAGGAGATGCTGTTCTGAAGATACCCCACTGCCCAAAGACCAACTATTAAGTAGGCAGGAAAGGACTTCTACTCCCAGGCTATGAAACATTCACTGTGAGGGTATATTTGGCTCCTGCAAGAAGATAGTTTTAAAACTCTTTCTTAAAACTTTTCATGGATTGTTTTAGTGTTCATTTTTATTACAATTCTGTGAACTTTTTTTCTGTTTTATAACTTCTTTTTCTTGTTGTCTTAAACCATCTTGAGTGTTAGGATAAATGAAAGGGCAGGATAAAATTCTATATCAAATTAATAAATGAAATGCTGTAGGAGCTATGCTGATACTGTACATGAGAAATAAGCTTTCAAATAGAACATTTCACAGCTGTTTTGGACTTTTCTTTTGGATAGAAATGATTTTGTTTTTATCTACAATAAAAACAGCTACATGGAAGTTTACTTACAATGAGCGCAGCCTAAAATATCTTAGCTTTTACTGAGCTCTTTTCATTTTAGATTGCCCTTGTTGGCAACCTAAACTTTAGTTAGAGGTGTGGGGAAAGTGCTGAATTGTAAAACTGAAGTTATCAAGACCTCTCAATGGTACTGTGATATGGGAAAATTGGTGGCTTGGTAACCAGCAGGTCCGTGCTAATTTTTTTTTAAGCAATCAACCCAAACACAGATGTTTTTTAAAGAATAATTGTTGCAAAAACAGGAAAAATAACTATGAAAAATAGATTACTGGTTTGTTATTTTAATGCTATTAATACCAGCATTGCATAGACATAAAAGATACTACTTCTTAAAATATTTTTTTAATTTATTTTCAAGATTGACATGTAGTTCTCAATTTACGACCACAATTGAGCTCAAAATTTCAATTACTAAGCCACAAAGTTGTTAAGAGAGTTGTGTAATGTGTGAGTATATACACATTCTGGAGAGAGAGAGAGGGAGGGAGGGAGAGAGAGATACAGAGATACATATATACAGATGTACACAATTACCCAAAGGGATCTTGTACTCAATTGGCTCTTTATTCCCAGGAAACGGTTTAAGAACTTGAGGAGTTGGGGCCTGTTATATTTTGGGCAGGGAAAGGGGAGAGATTGTTGTAGATATTAGAGACAACCACAGAAAAAGCACACTTCCTAGGCATCATAAGATGACAAGATTTAAAAGAAGGATTCTGGAACATGTAGACTGGGCAGATATTCTTGAGAGAAGGTGACCCTTCAAGTAGCCTGGTCCTATGCCATGTAGGACTTTAAAGGAGATTAAATTGAATCACAAAGAGAAGTCTATGGAAAGCTAGTGCAGTTTGTCGAGTAGTGGTACAACATGAGCATAGCAAGAGGTATCCATATCTACTTGTGCTATCCGATTCTGGACCAATTGCAGTTTCCTGATAATTTTCAGAGGCAGTTTTATGTAGCATGCATTGCAGTTAGTTCAGAGGCATTAGTCCAGTTCGGAGGAAAATAAGACATGAGTGGGATAATAAAAGGATGATGGTGGACCATAATTTTTATATTTCTGATTTCTATCCTATTGCAATAAAACCTTAATTTAATGATCATCCAAGAGTGATGTCCATTAAAGCTGAGTGTGTTAAGTCTAAATGTATTCCATTTGCATCACTTTGTGTCATTTATAATTATGCAGTTGATATAAAAGTGATTTTGCAGTAACATTTCAATTCAATAGATACATTTTAATGGTCAGCTCCTGACATTAATCCATGAAATGGGAGAAGTTCATTGATGAAATTCATATTAAAAAGTGTCCATTGTGTCTAAAGTCTGTTGAATTAAGAACATGTATCCCAGTGATGGCAAACCTTTTCAGCATTGAGTGCCCAAACCAGAACGCACATGCACGCGGTGGAGCACTGGAAACATGAAGATCAGCTAGCCTGTGCACATCCGCGCACCAGCCAGTTGGTCTTTGGATTTCCGGTGCTCCGGCACACACAAAGACCAGTTGGTGCACCAGAAACCAAAAAAGCAACTGGTGACGGCACGTGTGCCCACAGACAGGGCTCTGCATGCCACCTCTGGCACATGTGCCATAGGTTTGCCACCACGGATCTATCCTATCCATGCTTTTGTAGTCTTGTTCATCTTAAGGTAGAAATAATTTCTTGATAACAGAATATCCATAAAACATATCCTGAAAGATAAATGAGTACTACCTAATGGATGTTCCCTAAAGACATGGATATTTCCTAAAGACATATTAAAAGTCTTTGTCGAATGAAAGAATCTTTCTGTTCTATCTTAGCTTTTTCATGCAAAATAGGATGTACTTACATTCCATTTTATTGAAAGCTGCCCAAAATTGTCTGAAAGATGGGCGGCCATATAAATGTTTTAAATAGTAAATAATTAAATAAAATAAAAAATGGAAGGTCTCACGTAATGGCCTGTATTTTCTACTAAGCATGTATAACACAGATTGAGGAAGTACTACTTTAAAAATATTAATGAGAAAGCCATTCTTTCTGAGAAAAGTTTTTATTAGTGACATTATCCAAGTGCAAATGTATAGCAGTGGAACTTTCAGAGAAAAAAAATACAGGTTAATCCTTGCTTAGCAACCCCAATTGGGACCTGTTGCCAAGCACAGAAAAACACATGACTGAGATAGAGTTACAACATCACTCTCCATTCTGTTGTTAAGTGAATCATCACATGAACTTGATTTGTAGTTTTACTTCTATCTTTATTAATTCTGCTTCTGGGAAGCCAGTTGTGAATCCCAGAAATGACATGACCACAAGACTTTGCAGCAGTCATAAATGTGTGCCAGTTGCCATCAAATGGCTGCAAGGTGTTGGAATGATCATAAAAAGGAAGTTTGGTCGCAAAGCTTTGGGTGTGTTTTTACACTATCATAACTTTGAATGGTCATAAAACGAGGCAGTTGGTAAGGACTACTTAGAGTCTTCATAGCTTTTTGTATTACTATTAGCAAAGTAAGCTAATGAGTGACATCTAAAGTAAAACTCAAAATAGAGTTATTGAGAAACAGGAACTTCAACTGTGCAAACATCTCAAAAAGTTCTTTTATAACATTTAAACAAAGGGACATCTTCCCATGCAGTTCAGCCAGGACTATATGAGAAGTAAGAAAAGATATAATGCTATTGTTTTATTGTATTGCAAGTACCATTTTGTCATTCTTCCTAGCAAAATTTTCAAGAGGTGAATAGATTCATTTTTATATAGCTTTTTTTTTCTGCTCTTTTGAATCAGCATATTCTAGTTTCCACACAGGGCTGGCTTAATTCTAACATTGACAAACTAACAAACATTATTCTGGTCTTAGAGACTCTCAAATTAATATTTCTTTAATTGCTGAGCTATTACATTTTCCATGAATTTTAGTGTTAAACTTGAAATATTTCTTGCTGAAAAAACTTTTGCAAAGACTGCATTGGTTACTTCTATGTTGTTTTCTAATAAAGTTACTAAAATTATAAAAAAGAAAAAAATATGCCATTTGCTTTCATCGCAGTCTAAACTACTAAGTAGCATCAGTATAAAAACAGCCTGTGAAAGCACAGCATTTAATGAATATTCTTTCTTGATAGCACAATATTAAAATAGGCTTTAAAAAAAATCTACAACCCCAGTTTTTTAACAATAGGCAATTACAACAATCTAAACTTGTTTTTTTTCCTTTTTTATTTCAGTAATAGAATATCTAACCATTCCAAGGTACGGATTAGCAAGCCCATTCAAAGGACATTTAAGTACAAAAAGTAATGGTAAGTAATTTATGTGATATGATTAATAATTTATTTGGAAATCACGCTAGGTATAGACTGCTACAAGTCTTTTATTTAAGCATTAGTTTGACAGAATTTAATCAAATCAGTTAGGCTTTAACCAAGAAATTAAATCTAAACCTAATAGTGTTATTTAAGGAAGATATTTAGTCCTCTTTATCTCGTTTTTAGCAATAAATAATACAACTTTCAATCTAGAGAAAACTGTTAAAGAAGCATGACTAAATATTTTTGAAAATCATGTAACATAATAATTCAAAAAATGTACATGAAGTATTATCATAGTTCTTTATTTACCTTCTGTTTTCAAAACATGGTGAATTAAAATTGCTATGTTTACTCTATGAAAATTTAAGTAAGTTCTCTCACCACTTGCCTCATCAGTGCTTTCTGTCTTCATTGGCATGAAATTGTCAGAACCTTCAAGCTGAAGTCCTTAAGCCTCTTTACCTCAGAATGATCACATTGACTTCATAATGGGTCTATTCTTGGGGTAGCTGTTTTGAGGGTCTCCTGCTAGTTTCATATGCATGGATATGTGCTGCTCCACTGACTATTAAGACATAAACTTTTCCTGGCAGAAGCATTGCTGAAATGGCTGTGTGATTAGCGTTCATCTTGTTCATGGCTCAGTAACAGAAGAATTCTCAGTCCTGTGTGAGGGTTGATTTTAATCTGCTTATGTAATTTAATATATGATTATTTAGTTGTTGGAACTGCTTTCTTAACACAGGCTATGAACTCTGATGGTATTAAGAAACCAAGAAAGCCAAAAAGACCAAGAAAGCAAGCCCATTGAATAAGCGTGGCGATAGCAGTCCCCTGACCTCTTGGAATCTATGATCCCAGCAAATACAGCTGAAATACATCAAATACATCAGGGTTGTGTTAGACCTCAGGGGCCGGGTTGGGCATGGCCAGGATGGGCATGGCCAGCTTGACATCACTCATGTTGGGGGCACCTGTGGTGGCCCATGTGTTCTGCCAGTGAAAATGGGTTCCTGAGCTCTGTTTTCAGCTGCGACAGCCCTCTGACAGAGAAAATGGAGCTCAGGTGGGCCATGCAGCCACGTAGGCCGGTCCGCTATTTCTAGGGCAGCTCCATGGGCTAGATCTAAGCACCCCGCGGGCCAGATCCGGCCTCCAGGCCTTGAGTTTGATACCCTTGCATTAAGGGATCTGGAAGAAATGGCATCCTGTTTTATCTAAATTCATAGCATAGATGTGCCTAATGAAACATCATTATGTTTAGAGCCTAAAACTATATCATTAATTTTTTATAATGTTAAATAAAAAAAGGAGTAGTAACTTAAATTTTTAAAAATATAGTGCTTTTACAGAGGGTTTTCTGGGATCTTTCATCTTGAAAATCTATTATACCTGTAAGCAATACAATGGCATCAAGTATTCCCGACCATTTATCAAGCTATTTTAAATAAGACTTACAAAACAAATATTCCTGTTATAAAATATACCTTTTCTATAGAACAAACACCTCAGAGAATGCTATATAAATCTTGGGAAAAATTCTCTGCCAAGGATTTCATTAATCTACTACTTATTCTCTTATATGTGAGAAAAAGAAGGATCTCATATACAAACTGCCATCTTCTTGACCTGAGTGAGGTTTTCCCTCTGGTTCAATCTAAACAATTCTTGTTTTATGGTTCCACCTAATCATTTTTGTTTCTACTTAATAACATTTTAGACCAAATGAAGGTATCTAGAGTAAGTTGGTTTAGTTTAAGCATGTCTAGTTTCCTTTAGTACACCTTCATCTCAGTTCTGTGTTTTAAATATTTTAGAAGTTTTAACTACCATTGCCTTGGACAATGCCACAATTTGTGGCAGAAAAATTTAGCTATATTTAATCATTTAATCATTGAAATAATTAGGTTCTATGGCTAGATCACTGGTTTCTCATGAATCATTCTCCCTTTTTCATACAGTTCATTCATTCCAAGAAAAACAGTATACAACAATATTCAGGTGTACTGTGCTATTTATTTCATTTTAATGCCACCTTTATACACATTTTCAATTTTTTCCTTGTATCTGCAATTGTGGATAAAAATTATTGGTGTTTTATCCTAATGCTCAAATATGTTTTATTTTGGTAGCTTTCTGCATTGACTCCTCCTCCCGCAGACTCAGTAATCAGTACCTCATCAGGGATCACATGGCTGTTCATTATAATAAAATACTTTCAGCCAAAGGTAAAAATATTCATACTTGAATTCTTTCCAAACATTTGTTATAATACTCATATAGTATGGTAATAAGAATGTCTGACTAGGCCCCAGGAGATCAGATTCAAATGTCCACCTGGTCCTAGATGGTCACAGATGGGCTTGAGCCATACAACAGTGTATATATTGCTTCAAACTTTATAAAGGCAACAAAAGGATAAAGTATTATAAATATTCTGTTATCAGAAAATAAGATTTTGCAACAGACATACTCTTAAGAAAATTTGGTTAGACATGCAGATCATGTGTGCCCTTGCAATATGTTTTTTTTTAAACTAAAGTGAGATAGATCATTTCATTGTCCAAAATGTTATAGCCCTGTGTTTTCTCCTGAATTGGTGAGAGGTTGGTGGCATACAAGTTTAATTTATTGTTGTGATTATGATTATAATTTCCACGTCCTTTTGTGGAGTGCTTCCAAAGGCAGTTTTCTTCTATCTACAGTATTTTTTTAAACAAGTATTGGGATTAATGGATATCATTTAGAAGTTGGAAAAATGCCAATTTCTTTATTTATTAGCACTCTAATGATTGCATTTCTAATTGAATCAGAAATATTTATGAATCTTGAGTACATACTATTTTCTCACTAAAAATGAAACAGACATAAAAGCTAAAGATAGGAAGTATACTAGCCAATACTAATGAAAGTTTGGAGATTTCAGATAACAATTATATAAAATAATTATATAATAATATGCCACTTCCTTGGTCATTGATCAGATATTCTCCAAAGTGGTGATATATCCTTATTAATATTTAGCAGAGAGATCTTTTCATCTCTTTTAATAAAGAGATTACAGAATAAGGCAAAAGTAATATTCCTGTAGAGGTCTGTTCAGAACTAAATTTCCTTGAATTCAGTGAGGCTTTTCCCTTGGTCAGTAGATATGCATTCTAACCTAAGAGTTAACTGAATAACTTGGTGGCTGTCACAATATGTATGTTTCAGCTGTTTGGGGCTCTGCTAAGAACAAAATAGCACAGAAGAGTCAAATAACCTCTAGCAAATAGATTTTATTGTAGAAAACCTAAGAAGCTATGTATCACTTATAGCAAACCAGTGTCTTGCATCTGTTTCCCTTACCTAGTCTATGTAAACGACTAGAAGTACTTATCTTTTAAGAGTTTTAATCTTTACTTTGTTTGGATAGTACTCATCTGATGTCATATTTTTTACCTTTTTACTTTTGTTTGAATGAGAGTAAACTTTCTCACAGGAAATGTTAGGGTAGGGGTAGGTTGGTAGGTTATGTCCCTCTTTGGCATCAGCAGTGGCTTACTGAGAGAGAAGGGTGGCACTGGGAAACAGATGGGCTGGACCACGTGGTTATGCCAAGTTGACAACTGCTGAGGAGAGAGTGAGAGGTTACACAGAGCAGACTTACCTGACTTGTTTTAATATAGTATATTTTGCAAGTGAGCTCTTATATTAAAATATCTTCATCATCTCACTTGTCTTCTGTTTTATTTGAATTGGAACAACCCAAAGTTCTGGATTATATTTTGACTGAACCATGAGTGGCCCAACATGGTTTGATAGACATTTTGCAATGTAATGGATTGTTTAGGGTTCAAAACAAAATATTTTCTATTTTATGATCACCCCTTGACCCACTATTTTTCTTATAGTAGCTTTTTAAGAAAGGCATTTGCTAATGAAGTTGTTTTACAGCTGGAAAAGCAATTTAAATTACAAATATGTAAATGGGTGTACTAAATTAGGATCCCATTTTTTCTGTGCAGCAGGACAATTATTTTTATAATGGATGAAATATCCAACATACTTTGGGGTAATTTATGTTTACAGGGTAATACTCCACATTAAATTATATATGTAAGATGGAAAAATGTACTATATTGAAGAAGAAAAGAAAAATATGTAGGTAATTTGATCAGAATAGTTTTCTCTGTTCTACAGAGACATCGAATATCACTATAAACCAGGTACTTTGCCTATGCACTGGTTTAATTCTATTGATAATTGATAATTCCAAGCTGGGATTTGCCTGGAAGCTGTAGTATTTAGTTACTACATTTAAATAAGCCATTTCTGTCAGCATCCAAGTTTATTTAGTTGAAGGTATTAGTAAGCAAAAGAAATAGATCAGTGGAGTTAAGAGGAAAATACATTCAGGACACTATTGACCCTCAGGAAGTCAGTTGGGGTCTACAGATGATAAAGACAAGAGTTAGAAACCCCAGTGGCATAGCTGTTTTTGTCTAAGCTTCCATTTCAGTTCATTATTTCCTCTTACACCATTGTTACAGTTCACAAGCAGAACTAAAGCATTCAGAGAGCTAAATTATGCTGAAGTCTGCATGAAATCAGAGCATTTCCCACTCCTGATACTTAATGATGCTATAATGGAACTGCAAATGATGGTTCTGAGAAAAGGCAGATAGGAGTTAGACCAAATTAGACGTGTGGAGGAGGCCTCTACCTCCTCTCTTCCACTGATGGCTGTTGCTTGAGGCAGTTAAGGAAAGGAATGTGTTAAGTAAATAAGATAGGACTTAAATTCTCTGTCTCTTTGCTCGCATGGATGCTGATTTCTTGGCAGGGAAGTAGCCAGATGGCAGTTGGTCTCATCCTCTCTAACATTAGAGGTCTGACTGTTTTAATTTGAAATTGGGCCAGGTGATGAGGAAGCCTTATTGCCAGTACTAAAGATCTAGGGGTCTTACAGTAACTAATGAAAGCTTGGCAGATATGGTCTTTGGACATAATTATATTTTTAAAAACCTATTAAATATTTTTCTGAGTCCTAAGACTAATTCTGGTGAAACCCAGAGCAATTGAATTGATAAGTCTAACTAATATGCTGCTGATACAGCTGTCAGCTCAGTATACTGTTTTTACTTTTTACACATTTTTTCAAGTTTAAGCTCTCCTAAGGTGAGAAAAATCACTGCTAGATATAAATGATATGTTATTATGGAATATATAGAATGTTAGATGAACACCAGAAGTTTTAACTGAAGGCAGATAATAACCCATATTCAAGATACCATGGCAGTCTTTCATTCATTGTTAGTCTCTATAAAGGCTACTCGAGATACAGAATAAAAATATATGTTTTTAAGGTGGGTGGGGTGTTTCAGAAAACCAAAAATATTTTTCAAATTTCAGCACATTAAGATTTCTGGATGTTTTCCTTCCTATTTTCATGGCTGACCATAGTGCAGCATTATGTCTGTGGGGTCCTTGGTGTTCTCTGAGCTTGGTTGTTTTCTTACAGATGTTTCATTAATGCACTAGATAACATGATCAATGCTTAGCAAGGACCCCATACACATATTTTCTTCTATCAGTATTATATCTGCATGATATTATTGATTGATTGATTTATCAAATTTATATATCCATTCACCTCACCAATCTCACAGGAGCTTAGTCTGATTCCCAGACTTGTTGGCATAACCAGGTCTTGAGGAATTTCCGGAACTTTAAAAGGATGAAGTTATTATTATATCTGGGAGGGGTGGTGGAAGAAAGTTCCATAAGACAGGTGCCACAGCAGAGAAGACCCACTACCTGGAGGATCTGCCAAATGTAGGTCCTTGGCAGATGGTATCTGCAGATGCTTTCTCTGCCAGAACTAATGGGCCAGACTGATATAATTAGAGACAGGCAGTCCACAGATAACCTAGTCCCATGCTGTGAAGACCTTTAAAAGTTAAAACTAGCACTTTGCATTGGCCCCTAAAGCAAACAATCAATGCAGATTGCAGAGGAGAGGTTTAATATGACCTGTCTTAGGAGCACATATAGCTGCCTCCACTGCTGCATTTTGAACCAGCCAAAACTTCTAAATAATTCTTCAAGGGCAGCCGCATGTAGAGTGGATTTCAGTAGTACAGTATGGAGGCATGAATGAATGTGAGCCAAGCCTCCCCATTCTGGAATAGGCACAACTGATGCACAATCCAGAGCTGTGTAAAGACCCTCTTAACCACAACTACTATCTCTCTTCAAGCAAGAGTTGTGAATCGAGGAGTACCACAAATTGCCCTTTGGGTCTGTTTGGGCACTTTGATTCCATCAAGCACTAAAGATGGCATAATCCTGGAAAACAGTAGGCCTCAAAATTTCATCTCTAAGGTCCTACATGGCTCCTTATTTGAAATACCTCCTCCTCTGGAATTCATTTACTTGTCTGATCATATTTTATATTGATTAGCTATTTACAGTCCTCTCCTTGTAGGACTGACATCTGACAGAGTCTTGGAAGTGGGTTTTACTAATGCTGTGGAGCTTTTGTTTGTTTCATCCTTTCTGTGGTTTAGGAAACTTGTAGCAACTTTTGTTTTCGAGTTGGCACAGGGAAAGGAGTTTATAATATGCAGGTGGGATCTGTATTGTGTGTAGGTTATTTATATGGGTTTGGGTTTTTTTAAAAAAAAATATTAGCTGTCTGTAGCCTCAGGAATGAATAGCATATAACTACAGTTGGAAATAGGTAGGTATATAAGTAAGCAATTAATAAAATAATATATTAAAAGTTTGGACAAGCTGATAAGCTTCAATTATAAAAAGTTTCATTTTATAGATACATATTGATAGCTCATATCAAGCAAAGTCTATTGCAACATAAATTACTTTTTTATTGGCTTTGTGTTGTTTGTTTTCAGCTGCTATAGACTGTTCATTACCAAAAAGCAGATTAAACAGTATAAAATGTAAGTATTTTCTTTGATTTGTTAATAATTTTAAAAAGCATAGCATGAAAATTGTATTTCATACAATTATTCATTATTATTTAGAAATTAGAATTATTATTCATTACTACATATACCTTGGTTGCAGTGACATTTCCTCTCACTTCCTCTCATCTTCAAATTTTTAAGTTGATTTGAAATGTGCGACAGTTTATTATTTCTGGTGAATGCTGTCTATCAATGAATGAACACAATAAGCCACAACAGAAAATAGCCTGAACTGTGATATTTCAATTCAGCATGGTTCAAATTCTGAGTACATAATGGTATGGTATGTTATTGATACAGTATAAGTTATGATGAAAAATCTGTGTTTATTTTGTTTTGTTTATTTTGTAATCTTAAATAGCAAGAGCTGGTCCACACTGTTCAGTAGTAGTGTTCAACAGTATTATGATTTTGTGTATTTGCTTTTTAAATTGTGTTGTTTTGATTTTAACCTGGATGCCACCTACAATCTGTTGGCGAGAAAGGCAGCTGTAGATATTGTTTAATATCTCTTTTGTTTAAGCAAATCATCAATCAATGAATGTCCACCACTGAAAGATTGTTTGTGGAGGATGATGCAGTTCATGATTCCTCCATTGGGAAGGGGATAGAACTAGAAGATTTTGGAAGTTATTTCCAATCCTTTCAGGCTTTTGATTCTGTATAATAAAAATATCTTATAAAATGGTATGACAACAAGCTAAAGACTAGTGAAAATTATTTAGGGCAAAAATACAGTCTGCTCTACAAAAATATAGCTGAAAACAGAAGTATTTGTACATGAAGGAACATTTTTTTGGTTATGAATCAGCAACATAAATTGTTTCTCTTGGAAGTCTAGCAGGGTGGGATGGTTTAGTCCCATACGAATGCATTTTAATCCTTTTTTTTTTAGCTGTTTAAACCATTTTTCCCCTGGCACTTCCTATGTTTTCATGAAGACAGAAAATTGTTCATATAAGAAAGAGGACCAAGTCACAGATAAGAGTACAGACAGGTATCCTGGAATATAGAGCTGGTATCAGGTAAACCAAAACTCAGTGTGAACTAAAGTTATCAAAGGGCTTCTTTAGATATGTTCAAAATAAAAGAAAAGGAATTATGCTAGCTGATTAATAAAGGTGGCAAAATATTTTAAGGTAACAAACAAAAGACATAGAAACTGAGCTAGCATTTTGATTCATTCTTAATCAACAAAAAAAAGAAAATTGGGTACTCCACCAGGACATTGTGAAGATGGGAAAGCTATGATGAAGAGGCAAAATTGAAGCTTGAGATTGAGTAAACATGTTCAGGAAATACCTCTTTAGATTAAATTTTCACAAGGAAATGAATTGCATCCTACTGTATTGAAAAAAATCATTATAGTTTGGCTGAACCTTTGTATTATTGAGATCCTGATTAAAATGCCAGATGACGACTGGGGGAAAAAAAATGTACTTTTCTTCAAGAAGAGAACAATGATCCTTGATGTTATGGAAAGATCAATATTATTTGATCCGCATTTAATTTGCTGTCTAAGAATTTAGCTTTTTCTTGTGTGTATATCTATTCTAATATGTATTTTTGTTTTCTTGTTTATTTTACTCTGTGCTTTTTTTTCTCATGGTTAATAAAGGGCAATAAAAATTATTTTAAGAAGTGATACTGGAAGATCCAGGAAATGACAGATTGATCAGTCTAAAATTGCTAACTGGGAAAATTCTGGAACAGATCATGTTTATTAAATTTGTAGATGTTATAACACTGAGTGGGATATTGCCTAGGAAATAGAAAGAAAATTCAAAGCAATCTGGATTGGTTGGAGAAATGTTGGGAAAATGTGCTGCAAATAACTGCAAATTAACAAAAACAGAAAGTGAAGCAGAACAAATTCTGTCTTCTGTACTACATTCTGATGCCAGGTCATACAAAGTTGGCAGACCAAAGGTGGTAATCTTATCTGTTCTTATCTGATCTCATCTCAACTTCTCTTATCTTACCTTATCATCTTATCTTATTTGTATCATATGAGGTTTGGTTATTGTTTTAGAAAAACAGTAGGGCATTCTTGTTGTGACTAATCCCTGCTTTACTAATTTTAATTCAAATTTAAAGTGATGTTCTTACTTTGGATTTGGGCCATTAAATAGAATAAAATTATGTCCATTTATAATATATGCATTCAAGAATAAGATAGTATATCAGATTACAGGGCATTGTCAAGTTTCTCATCATCTCATAACTATTGCTACCAAAAAATGACATTAGTTGAAAACCATTTCTACCTTTGTCTGCACAAACATAGCAATCTGTGTGTGTGTGTTTTTTTAATCCCTTTAATCCTAGTAGTTTAACCTTAGCTAATATTTTCCTCTTAAGTTTCAGATCAGCAACGAAGAGAGAAACTGAAGAAAGAGGTAGAAAAATGTGAGAAGGAGATGATTTCATCTCAACAGGTATCCCGATCAAGTTCCAGGGAAAGTAGAAGACTGTTGTCTGCTACCTATACAAAAGTAGGCATATTTATTCTCTTGTTCCTTTTTCATTATTAATACTGGAGAATTCCTTCCCGGTTTTAGTATTGTTGAATAGCAGTATTCTACTAAATAGTCACCAAAAATATTTTAGTAAATACTTCCTTTTAAGAATAAGCAAGAGCATATAGTAGTGTAATTCCTATAATTTTATTTCTATGATTTTAATTTGTGCTGAATAGGAACAGGCAAAATTCTCCAGTACTGTCTCTCATTTTCCAGTTTTAGATTTGTTCTGGACTACCACTATATCAACTTGTAAGTTGGAAAAAAAGCGTAAATTTTCTATACATTTTTATACATGGTTCATGCCTATTTACAGGCTTGTTTCTTAATTTCACCTTAATTTAATTCTACTGCTGCTATCTTTTTCACCTGCTGGAGGGGGGAATAATAATTAAAAGGATTAACAGATTGCAACTGGAGTTTGTTCCATATGATTTTCTCCTTACTCATCTGCTTCAGAATGAGGAAGCTTGAAATTTAATCCGTCCTTCCATTTTTGTCTAGCATCAATCAGGAAAATTCTACACACACATACACACACACCAAATTTTAAATCATGTGTGATACTCTCTTGCAAAATAAGCCTATAATACCTGTTTTCAATTTATCTGCATTTAGTGATAGGCTTGCTATAAATATACCTGCCCTTTACAGGGCAGCAAGTACAGCAGGGTGAGTGAAGCACAGGGAAGCAAAGGTGGTAGGGCAAGCAGAGTTCAGCAGAGGCTTTGAGTTGTGGTGTGGGGCTTGAGGCTGCACTCTACAGTAGCAATGCTGGGGCTGAAGTAGAGGTCTGGGAGTGTTAGCATCTGGCTGAGACTGCTGGACTTCCCTGGTGTCTATTTCAGCCTCAGTGCCACTACCGTTGCTTATGTAGGGTGACCAAAAGAGAGAGGTGGAGGGGTGATAGGCAAGTGGGAGAGAGTTGACGCTCTCTTCTGATCTTAAGTGCAAATGGGCTGCCAAACACTATCTGAATTTTAATCATATCACTGTGGAAATGCTGCCGTGGTCATAATTTCAGGGATCAAGTATAAGCACCATTCGTTCAGCACCTCCTTAACTTTGAATGGTCACTGAACAAAGAGTCAAAATTTGAGAACGACCTGCACATGATCGCTATGCATTGTAATCTGAAATATAGAGACTTCTAGCTTTCTTTTATTTGTGTCCTAAGTTTTGTAAATATTATTTACTTCATCCTTTTTTCAATCTGTTTCCTCTAAAATGTGTTGAAATTCCTTCTTCCAAATTTCTGTCAGTATTATTAAATCTTAAAATTATGGTCCTAAGTATAATTTGGTTGGAGAAGACAGATTTAGATTATAAATGAAAGTTAGTTGTTTGTATTCATGTATGTACCTCTTCCCAGCTATACAGAAAGAGAAAAAAATGGAATGGAGGAAATAAATTGCTCAAATAAAACATAGTTGTTGACTAGCACTGCATGGAATAACAGTAGTTAGGAAAATGATCTCTGATAGACAGCTAGAATATTATTTGCAGGGAAGAAATGGGGAGAGTATTGTAAATGGTGAGATTCATTTTCATTTTAAAATGTGCATAACAGAGTATTTGGCTTCAAGCTGCTATATAATGTTGATTATTAGTTTGCCAATTCTTGCATGACTGCTTGGTAGTTGACAGTGAATGATAAGTTTCCCAGATTATCACTTTATTTAGAAAAGTTGCTCATGATTGGTGGAGATGGATAATACAATATGCTGTTGTTTTTGCTTGTTTTGTTATATTTTGAAATAAAAGGGAGAAATGTCAATTTAAACATCTGAGACTCCTTTGGTTACCATTATTGTCATTCATCAAAGTTTTTGTCATTTCGGATTGTTGAATAAATAACCTTTGTATTCACTACTGATTTTTATCATGCTAATGCAGGATTTGCAATATGTATCTTGGTGAAACTTTTTTTCAAAATTTTAAAAGGAATATGCCAGGTGCCAACCAAATAAAAAATGGCTTTCAAATCAGACTTGTCAAACATCATGCTGGTTCTGATTGTCTCCAAAAGCTAGTCAATTATCTCCTATGCAGTAATATGAATAATTGACCCATAGTATCAATGTGTTGTATATGTTTTCATCCTTTCGGATATAAAAGCTAACATGTTGTGCTCCTTCTCTTCAGTGGTAAATTTATTGGTAATGGAGAATATGTTTATTAGGCTCAGTCTCAACTCATCTTGATTGATGTTCTTATGAATAGCCCAATTGTTGTAGAGCTGCAACTGGCCCAAGTTACACTCTGCAATGGAAATGTTGAGAATCCCTAATCTGGAGATACTCTATTGTCAAACCAATAAGGGAGAATATTTGTACTCTGAGTTGCAGGGCTCTTCTATTGTCAAACTTGATGTTTGATACCATGATATGTATGAAGAAATAAATAAATTCAAATAACTTTATTGTGGTCATCAACCAGCAGGAAGAAAGAAGAAAATGGTTTTCAAATATCCAGAACATCAGAAAATAAATAAAGAGGAGCGATACATAGAAAATGTAAAAAGCTTCTATGCTAAAAAGCTTTATTCTTATTAGTTAAAACTAACCTAAGAGAAGTAAATAATTTTGTGGCCATTAATCAGTGCAGGAGAATTAGTTTTCAAATATACAAAACTAAATTGACAGTATTAAAGTAATTAGAAAAGGTACAAGAACCACAGTGGTGCAATGGTTAGAATACAGTATTGCAGGCTACTTCTGCTGATTGCCAGCTGCCTGCAATTTGGCAGCTCAACTCTCACCAGGCTCAAGGTTGGCTCAACCTTCCATCCTTTGAAGGTATATAAGGCTAAGGGCTATTGCTATTAAATACAAAGAAAGAATTTAAGCTAAAAGACAATATTAAATCCAAAAGTGCTAAGAAGATAGCTCAGGCTTCATACAAGTCACAAAAACAAATTAAAATTAGCAAATCTGTATAGAAATTTTAAAATAGCAACATAAAATACAAATAAAAAAGATAGATAAAATAATAAAATTATTCCAAAGGAATTTGTAGATTATAAATTTATATTACAAATCCCTTTCAAACCTGAGAATACAATAAAATATATGCACCAAAGCATAAAAAAAAGTTAAAAAGCAACTAGTAGTTAATGCAGAGCTGAGCCATTTCTGGCTATCCATTCTCAGACAGATTCAGTTGCTCTTAATTATTCTTTGCCTGATTTTGCATGCTGCTATACAAAACCTGGCAATCTTATGTTATTTCAAGGTTGATGTCCATTACCGGAAAGAAGAGATTGCTAATATTGTTGATTGGTGAATCCTGTTTTTCTGGTCAAGAGTGGGGAAATTAAAGCATTTTCAGGTTCTATATAAAACAGGCAATACAGAAGAAGAAAATGTTGGATAGTTTTGACTTGTCCTGAGTCTCAGGGACATAATGGATATATCTTTCATCCAGAAGTGCTGAAGGGAAAATATGACATTGAACTGAAATCCAGGTCCTTCCTGATGCTCTGATTCAGGATATTAAGCAATGTGAGATACAAGCTGGTGCCAGAGTGTATATCTGGCTATTTGCCATGGAAAGCTGATAAATATACTGAAGCCACCTTTAGGTCTACCTCTATCTTTCCCAACTACAGCATTATATCCATTTAGTGCCAAATCATTTGGAAGCTAGGTTTCTTGCAGCAAGCCAATGATGAATATAATTATTGAAACATATGAAGTTTATTACCTCTGCAATTGAACAACCAACTGTCCATATTTCAATTAATTGGGGTAGCTTAGTCTTGGTAGGGTTCATATCATAACCTCTTTACATATATATAGGAGATGCAAGAGAAGGGTTCTGGCTCTCTCAGGGACTAGATGGTGTATCTTCTAGAATTATTATTGGCCAAGTGTGATTGGACACACAAAGAATTTGTCGGTGCAAATACTGTCAGTATACATAAAAGAAAAGATACATTCATCAAGAGTCAAGAATCATAAGGTACAACACTTAATAATAGCTATAGGGTACAATAAGCAATCAAATCATACTAGGAAACAGTCAATATAAATTGTAAATATGCAAGCAACAAAGTTACAGTCATACAGTCACAAGTGGGAGGGGATGGGTGATTAACAGTAATAGTAGTGCAGACTTTGTAATAGTTGAACAGGGTTGAGGGAATTATTTGTTTAGCAGAGTGATGGCTTTCGGGAAAAAACTGTTCTTGTGTCTAGTTGTTCTGGTGTGCAGTGTTCTATAGCATCGTTTTGAGGGAAAGAGTTGAAACAGTTTGTGTCCGGGATGTGAGAGGTCTGTAAATATTTTCACAGCCCTGTTTTTGACTCCTGCAGTATACAGGTCCTCGATTGAAGGCAGGTTGGTAGTAATTGTTTTTTTTTTCTGCAGTCCTAATTATCCTCTCAAGTCTGTGTCTGTTGGGTTCTACCTTCGTAATTCATCACTTGAAGTTGAAGGTTCACTCTCTTCTGGATCATTCATAAGCGACTGATGACCCCTTTCTAATGATTTCATGACTAATAGCTTCATCAAATTCTGAGGGTGTCAATGGGTGAATAGTAGATTGATCAGAGAGAGCTATGTTGTTGTCAGCTTGAAAATGTTGTTGAAAATAAAATCTGGAGTAAAATCTAAATCGGTGACATAATGGTTGGTGTTTTTTTTGACAAGCTTGTTTGGATAATAGGATCCAAATCAGTCAATATCAGAGGTGAGAGAAATTCTTGCCTTTGAGGAATATACTGCTTTGAGGAACACACACTGCTTTGATTCTACAGATTTCAGCCCACAGGGGTGATTTTCCCTTTTGGAACTGCGTTAAACAAGTAAGTGGGGAAGTTACATTCTCCTCTCAGTTATATTCAGTTAGAGCCAGCTGAGGGATAAAAGATGTCAGTGAGGAGGCTTGTTGTTTTAAAACCCGTAGTCTGTTCTGAAAATGTATTAACTGAGCATAAAATGAGCCATTGGGGGAAAGAGAAAGATGGTTGCATTCTCCATAAATTGAAGCACTAATTTCTGTATTATCCTCTGCTTCGGCAGAAGGCTGTAGCCTTGAGCAAGTGAGAAGAATGTGACTAAATCACAGGCTGGACTGGAATGTCTTTAAATATTCTAGAAGGGAAACTACTGTATTTCTGCTACCTTAAAAAAATTCTGTATAATATTGTGTCTTAGGAAAAAGAAGGCAGATTTTTTTTTTAAAAAAAAACTTGCCTATGAAACTAGGCAAAATGTGATGTGTATCCAGCTCACTGATGTGTAAGATTCCTAGCAGACAAGCTATTTAAAGAGATAGATTGCAGAGCTTGAAATGATCTCTGAAAAGTGATTTTTGTGTGGCCTTTCCTAACTATTCCTTCCAGTATTTCATGGCTGATGGCAACTAGAACTTTAAAAACTCTTTGTTGAGTGATACTGAGGTTGGCAATTTCCTTTGGAGAAGTAGAATCTTCCTATCTCATGGTAGTAAACTTGTTCTTAATTAAAAAGTACTTACAACTTTGCAAGTATCATAGTGTGGTAGGAAAGAGACATTTTTTGGTGTTGTTTTCCTTTTTTTATTTGCACTGTTGAATACTTTCTGGGCTATTTCTCAATTTCCTCAACTTACAACCACAATTGAGCCCAAAATAAATGTTGCTAAGTGAGACATTTGTTAAGTGAGTTTTGTCCCATTTTGCCACAGTTGTTAAGTGAATCATTGCAGTTGTTAAGTTAGAAGCAGGATTGTTAAGTGAATCTGGCTTCCCCATTGACTTTGCTTGTCAGAAGGTCGCAAAAGGGGATCATATGACCCCCGGACACTGCAACCATCAGAAATATGCACCAGTTACCATGCATCCAAATTTTGATCACATGACCACAGAAATGCTGCAATGGTCATAACTGTCAAAGATCACTTTTTTCAGTGCCGTTGTAACATTTAATGGTCACTAAATGAACCAATGTAAGTCGAGGATTACCTGTATTTCCAATGTAATCCGTGTTAATTCTTCTTTGACTTGGCTTTTTATTCCTTTGTAGTGATACCTAGTTTTCACCTGTAATGCCCTTTACCATAAACTTTCTTTCTTGCTAGTTTCTTTTTCTACAAACCCAAGAACCTTTTCACCAGAAAAAGGCAGTCAGTGTTTTCATATGGGATAGACCAGGACTGTCAAATTTCCAGCCTGTGGACCAGATGCGTCACATTCTGCCCACATCCGGTTTAGCGAAGGGGGGAAAAAAGTCCCGATACATCATGTGACACTGCTGTGACGATGTGAATTTGATAGCCCTAGGATAGACAAAAGAAATTAAATTGTGACCATGTTTCCTTATTGTGTCAAAATTCATGAATGCCAAGTTGAATGCCAAGGAGCTATGGAGTGTGTTTCTGCCATGATTGGTGGTAGAAGCAAGTCTGGCCAATGCTTTCTCCAGTCGTTGTTCTTATCAAAGTCTTCCAATATATATTACCACCAACATTTGAGTCAGCTTTTTTATTAGAAACATTGCTATTACATTACATGCCTTTGTCTTTCTCCTCCAGCTCAAATCTAGAAATTGGAGAAAGACATTTGTAGTAACCTTTTGTTCATATTCAGTGACAGAACCAAAAATAATCCATATACCTGTGGAAGGTATGTCCTGCCAGTACCATGCAAATAATTGTTTATATTTTCTCTTGTTATAAACTTTAATTTAATTTTAAATTATTCTGTTATTTGATTTTCTATTAAATATTCCATTTTTATCATCATTTGTCATTGAATTTTAATTCATTTCTTTTCCTTCCAGTTTGCTGTCCTGTTAATAATTTGGCTCACAATCATAAAAAATATATACATCAATGCTTCAGAGTCCTATAAGAAAATGAAATATGGACTGCAGGAGTATTTTTCAAAAATGTTCATTGTATTGTATAGTATTAGCTCTGAAAAACAAAAGCATCTTATTTTAAGTAGACAACTGTTAAAATAGATAAGACAGAAAGAGATTACATTCATCTTTATAGGGTTGTTAATGATATTTTAGGTACTGGGACCATGAAATGGATCATAAAGAATAAAATATTACAAAATAATTGCTACAATATATGGATGTGCTTTATAGCAGGGGTCTCCAACCGTGGCAACTTTAAGACTTGGGGACTTCAACTCCCAGTCTTAAAGTTGCCAAGGTTGGAGACCCCTGCTTTATAGAGTATTATGAACATCCAGTAGATGGAAATATGTGGTCTTTGGTTATGTCAATAGTATCTCATTTCTTAATCATACATAGAGAAATATAGTTTTCTGGATCAACGTGTGGTTTGATGCTGGCTTTTTCATCAAATATGTTTAACATTAACTACCATTTATTTGAGCTGACATGATAAACTATGATTAATCTAAAATAGAAATAAAAGCTATCATCTTTTCTTTGTGGCTACACAAGAGAAAAGAGATGAGCAAATTAACTAAATGCTAAACACTATGTAACAACACTGTTTCAGTCAAAATGCACTGATGTGCTACATTTTAATTGCATTTTCCTGATGTTCGTATTTTGATTCCTATTATAAATTCTTAGGCATTCTACAGGCAAATAGTTTGCAATAAAAAAAACCTGTATGCCCTTAGTATATTCTGATTCACCAAAATTAAATAGGTGTTACAAGATTCTGCAGTAAGACATACTCCATATATCTGTTTTTATAATATTTATCTTTTAAAGTGATTTTTATATATTTTATATTGTTGCTTTCCTATGTGATTTTATCTGTTTGTGGCATCACCCAGAGTTGCCTTTGGTGAGATGGGTGGTTATATCAATTGGATTAATAAATAAATAAATTTTGTGCAGGCAGCAGTATTTTTCATGATTTTATTTCAGTGTTTCAGCAGAAAGTCAAAAGTAGAAAGCTTGGCCATTTGTTTTGTGCTGTCAGGGTTATTTAATAGGACCTCCGCTGCTTTGGGAATTTGTGTGAAATACATATACGCATGTGCATTGTTGAAAGTTAATTGTTCCATGAATATCTTTCTCCTGATTCATACTCTGATATACAGTACATTATAAGCACTACAAAGAATCCCTGGGAATAGAAAATGTGCCTTGTTCAGGTTTATTGCTTTGAAGAATTTATATGACTTTTTTCCATTTCATAGTCTGTCAAAAGCTTCAAGTCTGCTGACTTGCTAGTTTTATCACAGCCAACTTTTGTAATGCCTTTCCACAGTGGCATGCTGGGTTGTAAATGAATACATAAAAATCAATGATGTCAAGAGAAAGAACTGCTAAAGAGTGGTTCCTGTGTCTTTAACTTTATGTGGCTTCTTATAGTGTTTTATTAACTAGCAATTGAATGTAATTTCTGGTTGTGCTTTAGAATATCAATACAGCAGCTTAAAAAACAAATGCATAGAAAACTGATTTTCAAGGATAGAAAACATGCAAATCTGTAATTAGATTTAGTTATATTTTCTTTCATCTCTGAGCTTTAATTTCTTTTGCTCATGACATCTCAGTCTTAGTGCTTTGCATAACACTACATAGTTCAAAGAATAACTCTGTATTTCTGTGCAGCATTACCTCTTGCTTTAGATGCTGCCTTGGTTATTTATTTAGCAAGACAATGCTACCTTTATAATGCCCAGTGTACACCCTGTTTATAATCTTAAACTTTTTCCCCTTTTTATGGGGAAAATGGATTCGGAAGATGTTTTTAAAAACACAAAGAAACTATTGAAAACATTGAAGAGAAATCAAAATTTAAAACACCCAGTAGAAGGGTGTTTTGAATTTTGATTTCTCTTCAACATGTTCAATATTTTCTTTGTGTTTTAAAAAATATCTTCTGAACCCATTTTCAAAGCTGTTGTGCCAGAGGAAAATGTAATTGTACACGTAGTCCTTTCTCAACATCCATTCCTTCAGCAGTCATTTGAAGTTACGGCAGCACAGAAAAATGAACTTGCAACCAGTCCTCAAATTTATTACCATACAGTGCCTTTATGGTGACATGATAAAAAATTGACACATACACCCCCGGTGCATTTGCAATTGGTCCCTGCTGCTGCCACCACTACAACTGCCCCTAGCTGACCTTTCTCTTGTGCCTGTCGTCAGCTCTGTTGTCATGTTCTTACTTGGTGTACAGCTTTCTGTTGCCATCCCCAATGGACCTTCCTTCCTCCTCTACAGGATAGATAGAGACACCATTTTATGACTTTCTTGTCTTTTTATTCATGGGCTAGAAGAGGTTATTGGCTCTTGATTGTGAATAAAATAACACTTCCACACAATTCTGTCTGGCTGTGTCTTCATCAGATCTGGAAAGAAATTTCACAACAGTTATAGTAGACCCCAGACTGGTTGACAAATAAGGCATAACCAGTGAGAAACTTTATGGAAATTATGAAATAAAACAAACAGAAATTTTGTTCAAGTGCTGTTTGCGAAAGTAGATATTTGAGTAATTGAAATAATTACGGGGATAGCACAAAAACCAACTTGCCATTTTAATAGTAATTCCATTTGTTTATACTGCTGTATGGCGGGTGCTTGGAAGATTCTCCCCCCCCATTTCACTGATATTTTATTTCAGCATAAATGAAATAGCTGCTTACAGTGGAGGCATATCCCAGAGCAAGAGAACAATCAACCTGGCAAGTCCAAAGCTCCCGGTAGAAAGTCTTTATCACTTTGTGGGCCCAAAGGGAATGTGTCAGCCTAAATAGAGTTCCTGAGTCCAATCAATATCTCTGTATTTTTTTTTATAAGCACTTCATTATGAGGAAAACAAATGGCAGAGAATAGTATTCATTTGGTATTTATTCTTTGCTTTTCATGAAAAGACTCCAATATAATAGCCTGTGGTTTTTCTGTCTTTCCAGCCCACCCCAACACATTCATCAGAACCAGAAGACAAGGAACCCTTAAGGGCACCGTGTGAACAGCAGTGTGGGTTAGACTCCCTATTGATTCCAGAAAAGCAAAGCGCAATCCTTCAAAGGAAAGAAAAAAATAACAAAAGCATTGCTCCGAAAATCTCCACCTTATCCATCGAAAGCTCAGATTCCAGCATTTCAAGCCTACAAAAAATACATTCTAGAGTTTCCTGTAGTTCTTCTGACACTACAGCAAGCAAGCATTCTTCAAAAGCCCAAACTCCTGACTCCAAAGCATGCAGTGGGGATCTCCTGGATAAGCATTCCCAACATTTTACCAATGGTCAGCAGCCATTCACTCCAAGGACTTTAAAGTCGGATGCGAAATCCTTTCTTTCACAGTACAGATACTACACCCCAGCAAGACGGAAAGTAAGGGAGAATCTAAGGCAACATATGGAAGCAGAAACACAAACTGAAATAAGCAGGTGAAGAACTGTCTTAAGGAAGTTGTATTATAGACATTGCACAAACCTGTTCTATGGGGCATTGAGTTGCTGCTTCATGTTCATATTTAACAATGGAAAGCTAAACTTGATAGTTGAGCAGTAACTAGTGTGGGTGTGTGTAACATTGCTAGAAGTAGATAGATGAAAAATGTCCTATAGTAGTACTTCAAGACAACAATTCATCCAGTGACTATTACCACAGTATAAACAAGAGCCTTGAAAAATGAGGAAATGGATAATTAACAAAGACCTCATATTTGCTTCATTTCATTCTTCTCTTTAAAAAAAAAACCCACTTTCAACTGACATAAGTGCACCTTCATGGAATATTACATTTACAAAGAACTGTTGTATGGATTAGGAGCCCATGTCTCTGCTCATTATGGTCTGCCGTCACCTATATTTTAGTTACTATGCACAGCTTGTTGCTGTATTTATTTTTGCAGAGAGGTCCCATTGTCATATTGTGAATTCATAGTTATATGAATAATTTGATCCTGCTTAATTTTATTTTTCATAGAAGGTGCATGGTGATTGGGCTGGATGAAAAAATGCCTATCTACAAATAGAAAAGCTTCCTCCATTTGCAAATGGAATCATGATTTCCATTGGGAATTGTCTGTAGAAGAAAGAGAATGATGCCATCTTCTCCAGGACTTATCCAGAGGATTCCCCAAAACTCTGGAATAGCAAGGGAAATGGCATAGGAAAAGAGCAATTAGTAATTAGGAGAAAATAGTTCTATGCCCTCCAGCAAGTCTGTATCCAAGCATATTTATGATTTTTTTAAATATTGCTTACTAATATTCTACCAGATTTATCTATTTTCTGACATGGAAGTACAGCTAGTAAGCTTTATTCCAGAGTAGTAAGCAGAAATTACTTGGCTCTGGCAAAAGGTTGGAGTGTTCATAATAAAAGAAGAAATAGGATAGTAAACTGAGACACAGACAATGTAATCTAATCAAAATCACTTTTGGATTTATGTTTAAAAGACGTTTGAACCAGGCTCCTGAAGAATCAAAGCCAATATTGTTAGGACTGCCCTGATTCTTGTTTTGAAAGTCGGACTTACAATTTTAATTGCAAGTAGTATATTCAATTTGGATTTATTAGTATATGTACGGCTAAAGTTCAACAAAAAATTAGGTTTGATACTAGAAGCTCCTACTGGAAGGTATCAATATTTTGTGCTAAGCGTGTTGTATAGTGCCATAAATATTAACAGGATTATATTCATTAATACATGTAATTTAGATGCCAAGCACAGGTCTCCCATATATTTTACTTCATTTCCATTTATATTAATAGAGGATATTAAAAGGCAGCACAGTGCAAGGCAGTAAGCATCTTATTCAAAGAAATAAATAATACAGAGTAGATGTCTTCTGTCTTAATTATATCTCCTCCAAATATAATAATAGTTATTTCTCTCATGCTAAAGGTTTATTAAGTGCTATCAATCCACTGTCTTCTTTAGAACTGGGATTCTATAGCAAATTAAGAGTCCCTTCAATATTTAATGCCGAGCAAGGAAATGATTATGGCATGATTAGAAGACCTAGGCCATTTGTGAACACTCTTAACTATAGAGGTGCTATAGTTATTCTATAGATACTATTAATATTCCAGATCTTTTATATCTGTATCACAGCTTCTTTATTAAAATGATTTATATAAGCAGATGGATTATCAGTTCCTTGCATATTTTTCCTTCCAGTGGGCCATTTGTCTGCCACTTCATGAACACCCACAAATGATGGGTATAGCATCTATAAGCATTAGCACTCTAATAATTGTTTTTCGAACCCAGATGGTAATATATTTTGCCCCATAGATATTCAAAATAGTATATGGGAGTATTGTTTCTGAAAAAATGACATAGGATCATTGTATTTTTGTAGTTTTCAAGACGAATCTGAAGCAGCTGAAAAAGAAAATTTGCCTAGTTTTCAGAAGATCACGAAGGAGGTAATTCAAGTGATCTGTTTGTTTCTGTTCCAGTCATCAGGCAGTTTGTAAAAAGAAGTCTGTTGCTCTGGGTAATTGGTTACATTCCATAGTGAAAGTGGTTGCACTGAAACGCTAAAAGGTCTCTTTTGTGGATTTGATGTTTTTTGGATTTGATGTTTTCTATAGAAACACAATGGATGCTCTAGCAGAAGTGCCTTTTATTCCACTTCAGTTTAGTACATTAGTTCCAACCTTACTAAGAAAAATTAATGTCTTTTCCTTTGCTAGATTATTACAATGGAAATATAACTGGAACCATAACTGGAACACTTCAATTGATGAAGAATAAGGCCGCTTCAATTGTTATTGTGGGGCAGAAGGAGAAATCGTTATACCCTCATAATTTAACTTGTTGTCCTTGGGTTTCCAGCCTAATTCAGAGTGTTGTTTCTAATCTTTTAAATATTTAATAATCTGCCTGTATGTTTATGCTTATCATTGGGATGCTGCTTGCTGGCTTTCTGTTAGGATGTATAAAATTTGCTGACTGTGTAACTAAGTCTTCTCAGCAGTGTTCCAGCAAGATTACATTTATCCAATTATATTTTAATGAAAACATTTTAATGCACTTTTAGTTTAATAATATCGTAGTAATAGCAATGTTTACAATACTATTTTATATTCTTTTTTATTTCCTGCATTTTTGTCTAAAAATAGGTTTACATAACAAGCTGGTATCATCTTTAAAAAAGTGAAAAACAAATAGATGTGCTATATTGAATTCCATTCTTTAGTGACTTAATCTTCATGAAGGTGTGGCCAAAAGGTAGTAGATTGCATAGTAGTAGATCAGAATCGTTTGGTGGTTTGGATGGCTGGAACAACCAGTAATAGTTTCTACACCCACCTGCCCAACTAGAGGTTCTCTCATTCACATATAGGCACTCAAACTCCCCCTCACATTCTCGTCCGAAAGGTGCTTTTCAAAAGCACACCGGACTTTCTTTGTTTCCTTGAAGATGTTTTGCTTCTCATCCAAGAAGTTTCTTCAGTTCTGACTGAATGGTAGGGAATGGAATATATACTCCTTGAAGTTATCTGGTTGTTAGCACTGTGTAGGTTGGTCTTTAGCTCTCTGAGAGTCGTTGAGGCAACTTGGGGGTTTATCTGTACTCTCGGGTCACTTGATACGGAATCTTCTTGGAACTGCTGGTTTGTTCTTCTACCCATCAGGGCAAGATTCAGCAGTCCATCTGCATTTGAAAGACAAAGGTCACACTTTTGAAGACAGCAAAGTTCACATTCTGAACAAAGGACCATTGGTTTGAAAGAGTGGTAAAAGAGGCCATCTATGTTAAAATTGAGCAGCCCTCTCTCAACAGGGGGGAGGCTATGATACCACCTGTCTCCTGTCTACATCATAGTCCTTGCAGCAGTTCCAAAAAGATTAACAAATGTCTTGCTTAACAACAGAATTCTTGGGTTCAATTGTGATTGTAAGTCGAGGACTACTTGTACAAATTAATTTTGTATCAATAACAGTATTCTTTATATATAGGTAGAAGATTCCCGGTTTTCTAATGAACAGAAGTCTGATGAAATGAAAACTGTTTCTCGGTTATCCTCTCCAAGGTAAGCAATATTCGGATCTTTTTCCTTCTTTTTTGACGCACTCTGTGACTCTGTCCTCACGGCTGATGGCACATCCCCGTGCTTTCCTGTGAAGTCCCGAATGATGTATTTTGTGAGGTTTAGAACTGCATGATGTTCTCTAAGTACAAATATGCACCTTTTCCTTCAAACAAAATTTCAGTAGCAGAGCGAATAAAGTAAAAAGGCAATATGAAAGATGAAATGCTTGTTTGAACCGCAATATTTGTTTTGATTAATAAATAATGAATTAGTAAATCATGAGAATGTGATAAAATCTTTCTAGGATGTAACTGGATGATTAATCCACCATCAATGAATAGGGGTTTACTTCAGATGAAAGATGGGTTTATATTTGTGTAAAGCCAAAATGTAGAATCTCAATTTTTAATAAAGGGTTAGACATACAGGACTGCCTTTGTGGAGGGAATATGGAAATTAGATTTGTTTTGACCAGCCTTCCATACACTGGTATTCTTCTGGACAACCTACCAAAGTTATGTGTTTTAAGAGACCTGTTTTATGGTGATCCTGTTTCAATCTGAGTGGCAGTTGGAGATCATAGGGGGGGAGGTCACAGGTTTCTGGAAGCAACAGCATGGGTCACACAAGACTTGGTGTTTTCTCCAGTTTGTTCTACACCTCAATGTAATTAGTGGGAAAATTAATCTATTCAGGGTGAGTTGTCACTGGTATGCTGAACTTCTATAGTGCCACCTCAGACTGAGACAAAGATGCCAGGTTGCAGCACTGGTTCCTAGGAAGACACTGGGCCCAATTCAAAGTGCTGGTTATCATCTTTGAAATCTATATACTGGGGTGTCAAACTGGATTTCTTCGAGGGCCAGATCAGCATTTTAGGTCTCCTGGGGGAGTGGGGGAAAAGATAGGACAGACACCTCCTGCAGCACTCTGCTGCCCAAAAATGGGCCTCATGTGGGGGGCAGCGCAGCCCGTTTTAGCCGGTAGAGGCACCGTGGGCCAGTCCTTTGATATTTCCACAACAGGCCCACAGGCCAGATTTAAGCACCCCTGCTATATACCATATGTAAAACACTGAGATTCAGTAAGCACCAACTTGCCCATCCCCAACAAAATTCTCGAAGGGGGATGCTGAGAAGTGCAGAGGGCAATGGAGCACACAACAAACCTTCTTAGTAACAATTCACAGTTTGGAAGACTTCTCCACCAGAGATACATTGACTCTACTATCTTTGCATGCATTAAGAATATGCTGGAATGTTCTGTTATTTTCAGGTTGCTTTTTGTTGACTTTTTTATTTCTTACATTTTGTGATTTTATTGTTTACTTGTTCACTGACCAGAATCTATCCTATTGGGATAGAAGACAAAAACAAAATTTCAAGGGCAAAATGTTCCACTCTCCTTTTTAAAAACTCAGGGGAAAGTTCCTGATTGGTTGCCCAGGGTTTGAGTTTCCTGTATTTTACTTGCCTTTGCCCACTATGTAGATTGACGGGTTTAAGTTTGATAAACTGTTTTTTATTTCTCTCCCTTTTTCTCCTCCTTTAACAGTGATTGAATAATATCCATTTAATAATTCTAAAAGTGATTACATTATTTTATTTACTCCCTCGCCTTCATACTTTCATTGGGGAGGACAAGTTGAGTAAAATTCAAAAATAAGAATGATCAGACTGCACTTTCCTCCTTTAGGCATAGAGATCAATTCGAGCATAGCCTTATATGAAACAATGTACATGTTCATAGTGTTCTGCCTTCTGGGTCTGATTTACACTGTTTCTTCCTTGTTATGGCTTAGAGCAATTTCTCCATGTTCTGTTGAGTCCCCAACCATGAGGAAAATCCAAGCTGAGTAAGTAACTCATTAATTTCTGTGTTACATAAGGGCAAAACATTAATGAAGTAAGATGATACCAAATTACAATTGGATGCATGTACATCAGTTGCAAAATTGTTGCACAGTGAAAAACTACCAGATTATTTTTGTAACACTGATCCTGTTTCCCTCCTTCTCGCACCCCACTTCTTAATACTATATAACAGTATCAAAAAGTCTGATATAACCACAGCATTCACATATTTAAGGACACAAGAAACCACAACCTGGTTTGGTTGATTGATTTAAATCAAAATTAATTCCATTTTTTCTGCATTTCTTTTATTTACTTCCTAGCATTGGGGCCCAAAGCTACATTACAGAAAATCCATTAAATGCTACATGAAACAGTTCACTTCCTATGTTATGAGAACTCAAGGAAGGAAAGAAAGGGATATGTTGCTTATTTATGGGCTAAATAAGTAGGAAAACCTACAAGCAAGATATGAGAAATTGAGTCCTTGCTGCTCTCTGACTTTCATTGTTGTTTGCAGATATTTCATTACCAGACTCTAGGTAACGTCATCAGTACTAGAAGAGAATGGGGTTTGCTCCCTGATTATATATAAAAGTGTTGATGGTGTTGTTTTGATAGTTCCTTAATTAGACTTGTTTACGTTTTGATTGTTGGGTTGGTATTAATCCCTGCTTATCTAGGCATTGATTTCTAGCAAGGAGATATTCTGGTCATATTTTATCCTGACTTATCTGAATACCAAGCATTTAGCATTCTTTAGTATTTTTTTTGGATCTAGCTTGATTCTAGGATGCTGTCCATTTCCCAATTGAAACTATGACTGACTGTCCATGTGCTGTAAAATTAGGGGCCTTATTTTGACAAATATGCTCTGCTAGTCTTCTGCCTGTCTGTCATACTTAGTGGCAGTTATAGACCTTACACTTAATATTGTTGAGAACAATATTACACTGAGACAAAAGGGATGCAACATAAACTTCATTGCATCTCATAGTGCCAGGATTCTGGCAGTTACCCCCATTTAAACCATGAGTCTCAAGCCAGACTTCCAGAATTTCAAAAGGATTTATTGGGAGTTAAAATGTCTGGCGCTGCCTGGGTGGAGCCAACTCTGAGACACATAATTCATTGTCACCCTTGACCCTGGTTTTCCCCCACCCCCTGGGTGTATCATAATTCATATTCTCCAATGGGACACATCCATAGCTAAGAGTCATCAATTATGTTCTCCAGTTAGAATTCTGCGCAGCAGAAACTTCAGTCATCTAGTTACTATCTTTGAAAACTATTTGTGGAATGCACTTTTGGTTTGCAAGCTGCCTCACTGCTCTCCCCCTTTCTGTTGGCAACTCTAAAAAGACCATAGAAATATTTTATGAGTTGACACATAGACCACTATGGCATCAATTATTACCTATGAGATAGATTGCTCATACACTTTTTCCCCAAACATTTTGTGCCCCAACTAAAAGATCAATCCCCTCATCGATTCATGTAAAGTCATTAACTGTCTTCCCAAACCTTTTCTATTCCCACGAATCTGAAATTCAAACTAAGGAAGCATTCTAGGTTTCTTTTTCAAAACCATTAAAACCAAGTTAGCAATCCATTAACTGAACAGAATGTCAGTTGTGCAGATTTCCAGCTCTTACTGATGCAGCAGAATATATGCCAGAGCTGTGTGCTGCTTAACCCTCTTCACTCAAGCAACTCCTTTAACGGCACTATTGTTTATATAAGAGGAAATTTAGTGACATATTAGCGGATTTACTGATTGCTTATTTCTATTAAATGTTTGTGTATGTATTACATTAGTTTTCTTGTGTTTAGATGTTAAAATGAGCCGTGATGCAGTGGTTAGAATGCAGTATTGCAGGCTAGCTCAGTGCCAAGAGTTCGATCCTGACAGGGCTCAAGGTTGACTCAGCCTTCCATCCTTCCGAGGTTGGTAAAATGAGGACCCAGATTGTTGGGGGCAATAGGTTGACTCTGTAAACTTCTTAGAGAGGGCTGTAAATCATTGTGAAGTAGTATATAACTAACTGCTGTTGCTATTTCAATGTTTTGTTTTGTTAAACATGTTTTTTTTAAGGAAACACTGCTTAGCTTGACAACTAAATATAGTAAGAAAACTACTTAGGTTCTGCAATCGAGGTAAGGTAGTTCATGACGTACGTACATAATCCAGTTTGGGAAGAAATTGCACATTCCTATTAATCCTGCAGAAGGATATTGTTCTTATAATTGTTAATTGAAGTGTGAATTGCATATTAGCCTTCTGCTATGAATGCAGTATCTTCAGGTCAGTGAGAATATATTAGGGAAGCTATTCTGATATACACACAGCTGAGGTTGTTTCAGATGTGGCAGGAAGCTCCTCTGTATAAAAAAGGTACAAGTTTGTGCTAGCAGGCACTGCTGATTTATAGATGACAAATCAGCAGTTGAAGGAAGTAGAGCAAGTTCACTCTCCTAAGAAGTCTTTGAGGTGAAATAATCCACCAAACATATTAGTTTGTCTTCATTTATTCATGTCACATTCTGGACATAAATTGTTTCAACTTCTACCCTCAGAATGATACCATAGGGCACTGCACACCAGAACAACTAGACACAAGGACAGTTTTCCCCGAATGCCATCACTCTGCTAAACAACTAATTCCCACAACACTCTTAAATTATTCACTAACTGTATCACTATTATTCTTTTCATCCTTCCTAGTACCTATCTCTTCCCACTTATGACTATAACCATGTTGCTTGTATCTTTATAGTTTATATTCTTTTATTTGTTTCCTAGTATGATTTGATCGCTTGATAGTAATCTATGACTATCACTAAGTGTTGTATCTTACAATTCTTGATGAATATATTTTATTTTTTCTTTATGTACACTGAGAGGACATGCGCCAAAGACAAATTCCTTCTGTGTCCAATCACACTTGGCCAATAAAGAATTCTATTCTATTATGATCCAAGATCATAAATGGGAATTGTTGGTAGCAGCTTAAGTGTTTGTTCAACATTTTCATTTGGAAATTAAAAGCAGTTTTTACGTTTTCTGTTTAGAGAAGAAGAACTGAGGTATTTAAATTTTATTCAGGACATAACAGATGAAATTCTGAAGCTTGGATTATTTTCCAACAGGTTGGATATATTTAAAGTTCCTACATTTTAATTTTTTTGCAGTGAAGCATTGGTAAATGGTAAATAAAGGAAGAACCACAGATGTGTTTGTGGTGAGAAGTATGCAAAATGCTGAATAAATGCAGTCCAGAGGGGAAAAAATATTTTGTTGGAACATGATGGGAATAAGATAAGTGAGTGAACAAAAAGTGACCAGGCCATTTAGAGACCTAAGAATGAATGAGAGGGACAAATTCCTTGTGTGTCCAATCACACTTGGCCAATAAAGAATTCTATTCTATTCTATTCTATTCTATTCTATTCTATTCTATTCTATTCTAAAAACTAACAACTATCCAGTTTGGAAAAGTCTGTTAGTTTTGATGGTGTGGTTTAAGCACCAGTCTGTTCATGTTCATGCCCAGCAAAGAAATAAATGTAAACCTGGAAGGATGACTGGTTTGATGGTTTCTGATGAAAGATTGGAAGAATCAATGAGAAATCTAAGGTGCTAAAAGGATCTGAAATCTGGGCAGGCCATTTGATAGCTTCAAGAGTAGACCTGAGAAAATATGAACATGAAAAAGTAGGAAAGATATAAAAGAACTAACTATACAGTGAAAGCAGGACAGCTGCAGCAAAATAACAGAAGATAAAAGATAAAAGAACTTAATTTTGGGGTGAGAAAAATATTTTGTTTCTATTTAAAAAAAATAAGTTAACATCCTGGAGTTGATTATTCTTAATAGTTTTCTTTTGAAAAAAACCCACTTCCTGTGTAACACCTTTCCAATATTTTTGCTTTTTAAAGGGCTTTGGAAAGGTTGTTTGAACGTCACATAGAACTAAACAAGAACCATCTAAATAAGGTATGCTGCATAAATGAGAGATCATTTTAAGAGTACTAAAAATGAAGAATATTTGTTTCTTATTTTCTAAATAATATTTTGTATTTACAACCATTAGGCAGGATGCCTCATTTATGAAAAATACCCTCTGAAAAAGCATCTAGCTAATTCATTTATTACTATCAAGTTGCCGCTTTGGTCCTTCCTCCACATAAACAAATACATGAAGCAGCCAGGGATAGTGGCTTGTGGCATCCAAACTATGTATGCAAACAGAGACAGCTGACCTTGAAAGATGGTTAGATCTGATTAATGCTTATAGAGACAAATGCTGGAGAATCTTAACAAGTGTAGACTAGACTGGGAAGTCCCAAAAAAACCCCACTGCAGACAGCGGCAAATATGTCCATGTTGTTGCAGTGATAATTGTATGCCTCCCAGAGTCATTTTTTGTGAGATGGGTGGCTATATACATTTGATAAAAAAATAAATATGGGTGAGTTCACGTAGTCATCTGAATCAAACTTAGTTCCAAGATTATAGCTTGCCCAAACAAGCCAAAGTTGATAAACTGATAACTAATCCTGAATGTTTAGATGGACTAAGCCATCATATCATGATTATATTGATAAGTATTCTTTACTTTCATTTGTCACTTATGCAAAATGATAAATTTATGAATATGTAGCTCATTTAATAATAAGATTTCTTGGATCAGTGTCACGTGTATATGAAGCTTCCTGGACTTTCAGCTGCTGCTTGAAGAGTATGTGGCAGCTGTGGTCATGAAGACTCTTCACACAGTCACTTATTACTAAGCTCACAGTTTGATTACTGCAACATGCTCTACCTAGACTAGTCTACCAAAATAACAGAAACCTCAACTGGTGGGAATGCAGTGGCACGAGCAGTGATGTTCATACTTAGGCATGCCGATGTAGCACTGGTTGATAGTTTGCTTCCAGATGCAGTTCAGAGTGCTGGTCATTGCCTATAAAGCCCTACATGGCACTCTGCCTACTTACTTGAGGAACTGCCTGTCTCCTATAGTATCTACTATCTACCCAGCTGATTTGATTTTAGAGAGTTATTTATTTGATACGCACCAGCTTCTTTCAATTAAACAAAGCCAAAGCCACCTATCAGGACCCTGGAAGTGTCCCTTCTTTGTAGCAGCATCTGATTTCTGGAATAAGGTCCCCATTTCCTCCCCCCCCCCCCCACTCCCTCCCCAAGATCTAGATGGCCTCCACTCTGTTGTGGTTTAGAAAAACCATGAAGACCTGACTCTTCACTAAGGCTTTCCGTGAGGGAGAGTGAGATTCCCTGCTTCATTCCGATCCAGTCTATTATCCTTGCTATCTTTTATCCTTCTTTCTTTGATAAGTTTTATTTTAGAGCCTTTACTTTGATAGCTGGAGCCACCCAGAGTTGCTGGATGTCGGATTGCATACTAGTTTAATAAATTAAAGTAAGCTATTTCTTGCTTTTTATGGATGGTGCAGTGGGTCAGTGGTTAAGACACTGGGCTTCTCGGGTGGAAAGCCGACGGCCCAGGTTCAATCCCTGATCATTGCATGATGGGGTGAGTGTCCATCTTCACCTAGCTCCTGCCCACCAAGCAGTTTGAAAGCATGCAAATGCAAGTAGATAAGTAGGATGGGGAGGATACAGCACTCCATAAGGTCATGCTGGCCATATGATCGCAGAAACATCTTCAGACAGTGCTGGCTTAATGGCCTTGAAACGGAGATGAGCGCTGCCCCCTATAGTTGGCAACAACTAGCAGAGTAAAATCCACAGGGACTTTTTTCCTTCTTTGTCTTTTATACAGCCTCTCCCCTCCCCAGTCTTTCTGAATTTATTTTCATATATAAATGAATAAACAAACCATACTATTCTTAAGAATGTTCAACAAGTTAGCTATACCCTTTAAGAAATTAATCCTTTCTTTCATATTAGCTGCTACTTCCTGACTAACCTAATTGATTTCCGAAAATAACTCTTCAATTAATTTCTTGATACATTTTTAA